TTTTTTTAAATATAGAAATTTTCTAAATTTTGGGACAATCTGGTCTGATAAAGAGAACATTTACATACATGTTTAAACCAGAATGATTTGACACTGAAGTATGACTTCCCTTCGACTTTAAGCATTTGGCATTGCCCTGTATGGAGGAGTTGGGATGTGGGGCTGGAGATTGTTTGTGAATGCCCCTGTGGTCAGTTACCTTCTCTCATCGGTCAGCTGAGCCAAACTCAAATGAAAGACACAAGGCCATCCCCCAGTGCATCGGCAGACCCTTTTCACAGGGCATGTGCCCCGTTGTGGATCTGCTGTGCCTGGGTATGCCTAAGGGGAACTTTTCATTGCATTTTCCGCTTTAACAGCTCTGCTCTCACAGCAGCATTGAGAGAGAACTCTCCAAAATAAGCCAGTCACAATTTATCAACGGCTTTGCAGAACTGAAGCCGAGACCAGCGGTGGCTGGCCATCTCTGGTGCGCCCCAAGCTGACAGGACGTGTATTTGCTCACTACCTCCTGCCACAGCGCAGACGTTTTGCAGGTGATTGACAGGTCGAGTTACGGAGCTGGAGATGCATTGGAGAGGGAGAGAGAGAGAGATAAATGGTCGAGGCTAAGGCTTTATTCTACTTTCCCTGCCTCCTTTTTCAAAGGTCAGTGATCCAGACGCTGATGTATCGGTGGTCAGAGGACAGGCAGGAGGTCGGCAGGACGCAGCAGATGAAGGTAGGAAGGATAATCCAGAGGGCAATCATCAGATGCACCGTTTATAAGCAAGTATAAACACCTCAATTCACCTCATTATTAAACTTAGAAAACTTTAATACAAAACTACATTTTGTTCAGTATTTTTGTTTTGCCCAGAGGGCAGCAGGGAGAACAGTCCATGGTGGGGGGGTGAGGGGTCACTGATGATGTCACGGGACACGCAGGATGAAATGTCTTTAATGGAGGGAAGAGGAGCCCCCATGATCCTCTCTGCTGTTCTTCCAGTCTGAGGCGCTGCAGCCTCCACACCACACAGTGAGACATTAAACAAATAAAAAACTAATGGGACATTTGGAAGTTTTCAAACTTTTAATGAAAATCAGAAATGCAATAACTTTTCTCATCAAAAGTGAAAATCATGGGAGTGATTCCAGAGTAAAAACCATGTTTTTGGTTAATCTGAACGGTAAACAAACTAGATCACAGAGCAAAAAGCTTATGTACCGACAGCCGAGAGAGAGAGAGAGAGAGAGCAGAATAAAAGCACAGTCAGTAGATAAATTAGCCTGTCACTCGTTTCTGGAGCAACTGGAACATTTTTAAATGGTGGGAACCTCATTTTCTGCCATTCAAGGGGCAAGAAAAGTCCCACTCTGACATCAGTAGCAGCAGGAAGCATTTAGTGCATCGAACAGGAAGCCATCTTCTGTGAAACCATGATGGAGATCATTGGTACAGTTCGAGGCTCTGCATCTAACAGGATGTTTCCAGAGCTCCACTTTGATCCCCAGTGAACAGGGTGGTCCTCTTCCAACAGTGCAGCAGGGGGCGCCATTCTTCACGTTTTGCTGCTACTTTAGGAGAAGTGAAGCTGCCTCTCTGATACAAGAAACGGCCTTCTGAACGTCCTCCTCCTTCTGTTTGATGGTGACCACCACTCTGATGCTGGGAGCAGAAAACAGAAGAGGAGGAGGACGTGTTAGCACCTTTAAGCACCATAACCCTTTAATGAAAGGGTTATGGAGAAGAAGCTCTATAGCCAAACCAATCATCAAAGGGAGATGTAAACTGGAGTTATCTCCACAACCTCCCACCAACACAATCAACCCAACATTTGACAGCAGCAGCCTGGAGAACACATCTAGGAGGAAACGCCCCACAAGTTTGTTCCACCATCCATGCTGACATTGAAGGCGATAGCTTAAGAGCAGCCTTTAATGCTATCTTAGACACTATTGGCTTTGTTCAAAATGTGAATAGTCCCACACATTCTCATCTTCATACTTTGGATCTTGTGCTGACATACGGCATAGAATGTGAAGAAATAACAGGATTTCCTCACAACCCTGTCCTCTCTGACCACTTTCTAATAACCTTCAGGATTACTTTAACAGAGTTCTCCTCCCCCAAAAGAAGGTTACATTTTAGCAGATCATCATCTCTAACGTTCTGCTCTCTCTGCTTTTTCTCATAGTAGCTTCATCTGGTCTGTTCCTGTTTGGCTGTGACTCCATCCTGGAGAGAAATATCAGCTGTGCTGCTGCCATCAACACCTTTGTTTCTAGATGTTGGAGCTTGGCCTGTTTTCCAGTGTAGTCCTGTTTCTCTGACTGTGACTAACTGGATGTGCTCTCTTCATCCTCTGACATGGGAGCTGGCTCGGAGCTCGTCTGCCTGGCTGTGTGTTTCCTGGACGGGGCCGCCTGTGGAGCTGGTTGACAGTTGCCTTTTGTATCTATGCTTCTTTTTCTATGTCTGCTTCTGTCTCCTTGAACCCCAGTGGGCCTCAGCAGATGGCCGCTCACACTGAGCCTGGTTCTGCTGGAGGTTTCTTCCTGTTCAAAGGGAGTTTTTCCTCTCCACTGTCGCTACAAGCATGCTTAGTGTGAGGGATTGCTGAAGAGTCAATGAGTCGATGCAATCAGCTGGTTTTCCTTAGATAGAAAACTTTGAATCAATCTGACTGGATGATCTGATTTATAATAATCTGATTTATATAGATCTATAAAATGAACTGAGAGGACGTGATGTGAATTGGAGCATAGAAAGAAACTGAATAGAAGTCAGTTGGTCTTTAAATTTGACGTATTGGACAGGTGAACGTAAGTCTGGTCTCTTACCTGGGAGGCGTCAGGAATCGCTCTTCTTTTTCCAGGTAGCGAGCAACAGTCAAGGCAACATTTCTCTCCAAACACTGGAGGAGAAACCAGGGATACATGTTGACAAATGTTAACACAGTGAGGAAGTCCCAGGAGCTTCAGGAGACCAGCTGGGTCTGCTCCTGGGACTGAAACCAGTTTATATCCGTCACTGGAGATCAGGGGGATCCAGTTCCTCATCCTGGATCAGAAATGATCCGTTTGAAATGCTTACATAATCTACGATGGAGCGCAGCAGCTGCAGGTCGGACGTCCTGGAGCCTGAACTCTTCTCCAGCTGGAGATGAAGAGCCGGAGCAAACGGTTCTCCAACCAGCCTCAGACCCGGAATCCTGTCCAACAGGAACACAGAGAGCGGCCATTACTCAGCTCCTTCTGCAGGGAACCTGTCGGCCATCTTAGTGAGGTCACAAACACTGAAGATCATCACATGCTGCCGGATCTGTTACCACCGTCAGCGCAACAGCTAATCTATGCAACGCATCAAATAAAACTAACATTAATTGTAAATCTATTAGAAGAATTACATTCATTTCTATTTTATTTGTTTTCTAACTTCCAACCAACAAAGAAAACAGGAGAAATTTGGCGACATTATAGAGAAATGGAGAAGCGTCGTTTTTTAAACTAAATAAATCTAAAAAATGATTGAATCTCTATCAGCATCTGGTCTTTAGAGCGCTGGACGTTCCGTTCATTGATTAAAGAAAATAAAAAATAAAAAATGACTAGATTTAAGAGTCGCATCTGGATGAATGTTTAATAAAACATCAAGATGACCTCATTGATAATTAAAGAATCAGAGTTCTAACAGCGCTGCTGTCGATCCAACATGGCCGCCGTTTCAGACACATCGCCATGGTAACCAGATCCGGAGGCTGCAGCCCTGAGAGGAGGAGCTGAACATTCAGATCTAAACGGCGTCCAGGACAGAAGGACAGAAGGACAGACGTGGAAATCGATCAAATTTATGGAAGAAAGAAATGATTATGTGGAATATTAGAAGCCTTACTGGTGATGATGGTTCTAACCCTGGAACCAGATTCTTCAGGGTCAGAACTACTTTCCTAGTCAGAGCTAGAATAATAGATGTGTGACAGTAGAAACTACATCTCAGGATGACAGTCAGATAACTGTACTGCTAAGATTAAAGTTTCAGAGAAAATAGAAATCTTTACAGATCTGAAGCGGCCATTTTCATGTTTATTATCGTGACTTTCTTTCCGTCTCATATAAACATCCAGGATGTCTGAACCTGAATTCTGAGCTCCAGTTAGCTACAGTAAATACTCTGAGTAGAAATATATTTCCAGATGCTGATTAAATGAGTAGTTAAACCGGAGTTTCTGAGAATTGATCTGCCGATCTAAATGTTTACATTTTTAGACGTCAGAATCTATAATCTAGATCTGGAATGTTTCTTCTTTCTAGAATAACAGCTGGATCCTTTCAGAGCGTCGATCAGAGTCCATGAAGCCTAAAACACACCTGGGAAAAATCACCTCATTCCTTCTGGTCACATTTATTTTTGCTGCTGAAGATTCTCAGTCATCGAGGTCATTCATTCCTAAAAAGTTAAAATCAATCCTCTGGACTTTGTTTCCAACTTTGAAGACATTTCTCTTCCATCCAGGAAGATTTTTGATGATAGCAGGAAGGAATCAACTATATCGCTGCTTTGAAGGTTTTTAAAAGCTGAAATCTGAGCCCCCCCCCCCCACCTCTGTTTAAGGTTGGTTTTTCTTTCCTAACAAAGATGGCTTCCTTCACCCCCCTCTATAACCACCTGTCTGCTTTGTCTGCCACTGAGCATGAAAACAAAGTCCAGTGGATTTTGTTTTTTTTTTAAACTTTTTTAGAGTTCCATTTTTTTGTTTATTAATTTATAATATTTATATATATTTATAGTTAGAAAGGCCACAAAGTGGGCAATGCAAACACATGTTTTAAGGTTTGAATGTGAAGATGAGTTCAGACGTCTCATTTCCTGGTTAAAGCTGGACTCGTTCAGATAGACCAACCCATCACCAACAGACCGCTGCTCTGGTTGTTTTTAATTGGGCCAAATCGCTTCAGTTCAACAAGTTAACTAATATATATTTTATATTATAATAAACAATAAACTGGGGTTCAGTAGTTAAATATTGGCGACTGCTGCTTGCTCTCCATGATCCGTCTTGTTAAAAACATAAAGCTTGTAACCATGACAACCTTTGAGCTCGCAGTTTTTTCTTTGATTGAATTCTTTTTTTTCTTTTTGGGAATCGAATGATTAAGACAGAAATGTCACCCATGTATGTCCCAAACACAAAATAGATCCCTTCAACCAAAGACAACATTTTCAACACTAAAAAAAAGTGTTTAAATGCAATTTTTAGTCTAAAATATTTTATTTCCATTTAAAAACTATTTTCTGTGATTGAAAACGTTTATCTTTTCATTGAAGTTAATTTTTTATTGATTCTGTTTGCTTGTTTGAAGCAACTTCTTTATTGATTGAATAATAAAGACAGGAATGTCCCGCCCATTCTATGGTCCAATCAAAAAACAATCTTACTTCAATTAAAAAAGTTGCTTTAAATAAAAAAACTGAACTTCTATCAAATGAAACATTTTCAATCAATGAACAGAGTTCAAATGTATTTTTTGAGCCTCAAACATATTTTTGCATTGAAATACTTTTTTCTTTAATTGAAAAGTTTTTGTTCATTGAAGCGAAGCTATTTTTAATTAAAAATATATTTTTTGATTGAATAAACCTGTTATTTCATTAAATGATAAAGAAAGAAGTCTACCTTCATATAATGCCAGATAATGAGGAGCGTCTTTAGAAGGAACCTACCCTTGGAGAGCGGTATAAACATGAGCGCATTTCTCTCTCAGAACTGTGAAAATTCCTGAAAAACAAGAAGCAAAAAGAGAAAAGTATGAAACCTGAAGCATTAATGGACCAACAGGTGTCTCAGCGAGGACCAACAGGTGTCTCAGCGAGGACCAACAGGTGTCTCAGCGAGGACCAACAGGTGTCTCAGTGAGGACAGACGCCTACCTGGGTCCTCCTCCATGATGTTCAGAGCCTCGATGGCGGCAGCCGCCAGCATCGGAGGAAGGGAGGCAGAAAAACAGTAACCCTGGCCGGACAGCCGCTGGAGACAAATGAGACGGCGTGAGGACTGAGACACTGAGACTGGGTCCCTGAGACTGAGACACTGAGACTGGGTCCCTGAGAAAGACCACAGACTCCCTCTGTCTCCCTAAGGTTAACCCCCAGGACAAACCGTCCCTCAGGTCCCTAAGGTTAACCCCCAGGACAAACCGTCCCTCAGGTCCCTAAGGTTAACCCCCAGGACAAACCGTCCCTCAGGTCCCTAAGGTTAACCCCCCGGACAAACCGTCCCTCAGGTCCCTAAGGTTAACCCCCAGGACAAACCGTCCCTCTGGTCCCTAAGGTTAACCCCC